AACCTTACAACATGATTGCCTCTCAGGAGAAGATAGAGAAGTAGTCAAACCTCGAGCAGTCCCGTGAAGGAAAGCCTTCTACTGCCTCCTTTCCTATTTAGCGCTTCCTGCTACTTAACTCAGAGCATCCGAGATATGTAGCGCTAATCGTGTGCGGCTGCCGTCTATTGATGGAACGATGGAGCCCGAACCTAGGTAGTTCGTCAGTGGCCGAGCTGCAACGGATCTTTTTCTGGCAATTTTAGCGAATGAACGTCCTAAGTCAAGATTTAATCATCGGGTACATTTATCCTAGGTCTATAGTGGACTATGAGTACCTTGGGAAATCATATATCACGTGCATAATCATCCGGCACATACCTAAGCACCTGCTTATATCAATTCAAGCTGTGGGACTATGCCTTAAAGAATGCATCAGAAGAAGCATTCCTCACGAAGCAATCGTTGCATTATTGACTTTCCCGGATATGACGAGTCCTACGTTCGATTATATCATTGTTGGAGGTGGGGCCTCGGGCTGTGTTTTAGCCAGTCGTCTCTCCGAAGCGCTTCCCCATAATTCGATCCTCCTGGTCGAAGCCGGACCCGAGCATGATGATCGAATTGCTCCAAGCATGGGTGTTGCCCGTCAGATACAAGTGACATCCAGTGGAATCATCATACTGTACCCCAGAAAGCTCTCAATGGTGGCACCGTAAGGACTTCTTCTTTTTGTCATATATATATGAGACTTGCCTCTAGGCATCGGAAGTCGAAAACTTGCTACATCAAGCTTAATAGTGGTCTAGGAGTTTCCCCTCATTGCATCTAGGTTACTCAAACTCAAGGGAAGGTGCTTGGAGGCTCGGCTGCCATAAATTACCAAAATTGGACACGTGGTGCCGCTTCGGATTTGTTGGTATCATTCTACCTCGGAAACACTGTCTAACTTCATCAGCGACCGATGGGCTTTAGAAGTGGGAGATAAACGCTGGTCCTGGGAAGGACTCCTTCCGTACTTTAAGAAGACGGAAACTTTTGTGCCTCCCAAAAATGGCAACCAGGAGAGACAACCCCATATTCATGGCTATGACGGACCGATCACGGTACTTGGATTTTATATATATTTCTTGTACTTTGACTGATTTTGCCAGGTATCTCATACATCCTCCTCTTCTGGAGGCCCGAGGAATTATCCTCTGAGAGATATGATCCAAGATATATACGAGAAAGCGGGATTCCCATTCAATCCCGACGCTAATTCAGGGAATCCGAGTAAGTAGACCTCAGAAATACTTTTAAGAGCTAGATGGGTTCCTGATCTGCTTTGATCTTGGGTATTAACGTTGATATATGTGATTTACAGTTGGATACTCTGAATATGCGAACAATACGTTCGACGGAAAAAGAAAATGGAGTGCATCATGCTACAAGCGAGGGCCGAACGTTACACTTTGGGATAATACCCAAGCTGCAAAATTGATTTTCTCTGGAAACAAAGTTATAGGTGTTGAAGTCTTACCTAACGACCATGGTGCAACTCGTGCTCTTGCGAAGAAAGAAGTGTTGCTCTCAGCTGGGGTGCAACATTCCGCAAAGCTCCTTTTGCTCAGGTCAGTCGAGGTTAGCGGTAATCCGGTACCCGAATGTTAACGTTCGTAGTGGAATTGGACCCAAAGAAGAGCTGGAACGGCACAAAATCCCGCAGTTAGTTGATCTGCCCGTGGGAGAGAACTTCTCAGATCATCCGCTCCTAGTAACGTTCTGGAAGGTCCGTGATCGGAATCTTACTATTGGCGATATGGAAATGATCAGTGAGGATGTCGATTGGACTGCCGGCGTAGGCAGTGATTATGTGTCCTTCCATAGACACGATGACGGAAAGACGAAATCTCTGGCAAAGAAGATCTTGGATACCAAATTACTAGAGCAGTTCAATGTGCCTGGCAGACCTCATACTGAAACTCTTGTTATGTAAGTCGCCCTCCTAGCATCAACATAGAACTACTAACCGGCCATAGGCATGGTCATGTAGATCTTAGTGGTCTTGTTCATGCACCGGAAGGGTCTTGTTTCTCCATGTTCAACATCCTCGTTGCGCCATCATCACGTGGCACTGTGCGGCTTTCATCAGCTTCACCCACAGATCCACCACTTCTGGACCCCGCATTGTTCGAGAATCCTCTGGATCTACACTTGATGTATGATCTAGTTCGTCAAACCAACGCCGCCATTCAGAAATCATCAGCTGTGTCCAAATATGGCGCGCTCGAGTATGGAATCGATGAGAACATGCGGAATGATCTTTCTGACGAGTCGTTGAGAAAACGACTTCTGAACACCGTGGAAACAGTATTCCATGGAAATGGAACTTGTGCGATGGGAAAGGTGGTGGATACGGAATGCAGAGTGAAGGGCATTGAGGGATTGAGGGCTATTGATGCGAGTGTCTTTCCATTTCCGCCTGCAGCGCATTTTCAGGCCATTGTGTATGCTGTTGCTGAGCAGGTAAGGGAAAGGTCTTGTAGCAGATGGATATGAGAACTGACGCATGCGAAGATGGCAGATATAATAGCGGCGAACGCCGACGGCAACTAGATTTCCCAATTCATTATTGGAATTGCTGAGGCAAATCTTTCTCCAATAACATCATCAACGCCATCGAATGAGGCTCCCAGCTCCTGCGTGGTCAACTCTCATTCGAAACCTTATCCCAGCATCAAACGCAACCCAAAACAGGGCGGACAACCATCGCCCGATAGTAGAAATGAATAGCCACAATGGGGATGGGGAATATTTGGTTATTTGAAGGTCAGTTTCGAAGTATGGCGTTCTACAACTCTTCCACGTCATTGATCACACACTTCTTGGCAATAGCAATGTCGTTTCTAAAGTAGTAAAAATAGCATCCACAAGATTATAATCCCCAATCCTCTTCATCCACGACCTCTTCTTCCCTGCTTCATCGACTTCCTCTGCATCACCGGACATTTTCTTCGCCGTCTCTTCCCTCATTCCCATCACTGGTCTCGTTGACAGGCGAAAGAGAGTAACGATCCGACCATCACTAAGGCTATCTGGGGAATATTCACGCTTCCGAGGTGGTGGATCGGATTCTTCAAGAAGCCCACTTGGGACTAAGCTTCGAAACTATACCCTCCCCAGATGATAGCTTTCGGGCGCGACTTGATCGTGATCGATTATGCGTCGACATCCTAGGCTACAATGTGTTGTTAGTGCTGCCTTTACTATGGCAAAGAAATCATTCGACTCACTGATCTAGAGGTGGAAGGCGTAGTCCCATCTATGCTATTGCCATTCGCAGATGCCACTGTATGCATGCCTTGGACTATACCGCTGGGCTTGGCCATAGTAGACGATTGGCCTTTGATGCGTCGCGAGGCTGCGATGAGAATATCCAACATCGATGAGGAATCAAAGGATGCAACCTCTTCCAGGTATGGCTTGAAGTCTTCAGAGAAGTCTAAAAACTTTCTCAGTGATATGGCTTGGATTGCAACTCCACCATTGATTTCCGTGGAAAAGCAGAGTTTGTTCGCCTTGTCCGCAGCAAGCCATGGGCCAATGCATTTTTGTAATTGCTCGTGGCAATCCATGCTCAAGCTGTTGACTACAGTACAAGTAAGAGACCTGTATATGACAAGTGTCAAAGTGATTTGCCTTACGAAGATTGTCCTGAACATCCCTCTTTCTAATATTTTTATTTGGCTCGGCCATTTGGATGTCATCGCCCTTTGCGTCTAAGATCTCCGTCGCCACTGGTGTTTGTGGATTTGCCATCTTGCTTTTCTTTCCAGGAACCTGCGATATTCGCCTGGTCTTAGCTGTCGCAGAACGGGCGTTTTTCAGGATAACGCTGAGCCTAGCATCGACTTGGCGATGATTTTGCTGTATCGTAGCCTTTTATTCTATTAGTACTCAAACTCTTCACTGAGCGCGTCATTGCAAGCGCACCATCATCGTGTCAAGACGCGCTAACAACGCGAGTTCGGCGGTCGTCGAGGACCTTTTTAGAGGAATCGGCCAGATAGACCTAGCCTCTGTGATGTCCACATCGAGATCCTCAGGAAATTTTGGGGCCAAAGTTTAGCGTCGACACCTTTCATGGTTGTTGCACAGATCAGCCTCGATCGAGGCGTGTAAGGGGGGGGTTTAACCCCACCAGCAATCCGAGAGTCTTCATGCGTGTTGGAACAGTCCCTCACGAAGAGAAGACAGAGGTCTCGGCTCTCCTGTTCTCCATGTAAGTTGTTCCTGTATTATTGGTGCGTCTGAGGAGAGAAGAAGTCTGCGAGGAAGACCTGTCTACCTACCCAGGTAGGTAAGGTACCTAAGTACAGTGCTGGAAGCTAGCGGCCTACAATTGACTACCGCAACAATGTGCTGTGTTGTGTGGTGTTGAGATCGTCCATGATAAGCCGTGCCATACGGTCGGCGGCCTCGCTTTCGAGAGACATTTGTTTGAAGGGAGAAGGAGACGGTAGATTTGCCCGTCTGGGAAATTGTTGAAGATAATATGTTCAAGGCGGCTTAAGGTTGCTGGATTTAAGTTGTAGCCTCTAATTTGAAGGAGGCGGTAAAGATTATCTGAGATCCACTCTCAACATGTCTACCTACTTATACCTAGGTACCTCTACGGCATAGAAATATATGGCTGGTTTTGGCCCGTGCACAAGCACCCTTTCGACTCGATTTTGGCACGGTTAACTCAAAAACTTTCTCAAGAAAATATGTTATTGTTCAAAAGTACGTAATCGCTCATTGCTTTGAATCCAGGAAAGATCCTACCTTATTTTGCGAAACGATTACAGACTTTGTGGTTTTGGGTGTGGAGCCAAAACCGGCCACTTTTTTCGATGTAGGAGAGACTTAGGCTCTTCGCCTCGCGCACCAACCAAAGCACCCATAAGCCGGGACCCCACTCAGCACTGGGATTCTTGCCCACACAGAATTGGTATACAGCTTATTAATTTAAATAAGCAATTTCACTGCATCAAATTGGTCGGGTGGTGTAGTTGGTTATCACATCTCGTTAACAGTTTCAAACCTGTAACACACAAACCGAGAAGGTCCTGGGATCGAGCCCCAGCCTGATCAAATGCTTTTGGGCCTAGAAGCAAATGAAACGGTTAGCAAATGGTGAAGATATATGAGGTTGAAGGCTGTGTGTGATCTATTTTTATATATATCTTCACTTTTGCGTCATCAAGCGAGAAGGGTCGTTAAGCGAGATGCGCTATTTTAGCACTGGCGACCGAGGAACACCAAAATAAAATCGATTTTTCGAAAAGTGCTTAGAAAACTCCAATAATAAGGATTTTGTTTAAAGCGAAGTCGCTGATGACGAATATCGAGTTCTTTTTGGAATTGAGGTCCATTGTTGTGGTGAAAATCGAAAATTCACCGTTGCAAACTAAAACTTCAGCATCACCCGTTGCTTTTCAGCATTCCAGGTTGACCTCGGCTAACCCTAACCTCTCTCCAGAGGTCGTCGTCGGCCTCCTTTATACCTTTATACCTTTATAGCTTTATAGGCACTCTGCCAAGGTAGGTAGTCAAAGTTAGAAATTCACAGGACTCCTATTGAAGAAAAAACATGCTCGGGATGCGTTTGAACTTGACCCTATATTACGACCGAGACTGTGATCAAAGGACACACAGTGGCGTTGGTGGCGATGCTTACCTAGGTAGATCCAGCGATGCAGTAACCAACATTCTGCACGTGAATAATTATGCGACAGACCTGGGGGACTAAAACATGTGGTAAATGAGTGTATGGAGTATGGCCGGACAATGATCTCTATGCCCCATGATGTTGGTGTTGCTTGGTGGTTTTCGCCTTTAGCTGTGTCTTCGTGATCATTGACGACATAATAATTTCCAGGATGAGATTTTGCATGCTAAAATCCTCCCCCCTCAACTGATCCACTTTTGCCTTACGTTTACTCATGCTCGAGTCAAAGGTCCTCCGAGCATTTGGACGAAGGAGGATTTTCGACAAGCAAATTCCTCAACTATTATCTCACAGGCAATCGCACATCATGACCAGCAAAAAACCTATCAACCTGCTCCGCGGTTGGCCAAACCCGTCCCTGCTTCCAACCCCAGCTATCCTCCGCGCCGCACAATCAGCCCTCTCAGATCCTTCAATCTCCACGCCCGGACTTCTATATGGACCAGATCCAGGCTTTCAACCTCTTCGCGAAGAGATCGCAAAATGGATGAGCAGATTTTATGGCGGAGAGCCAGATGCAGACCGAATCTGTATAAGCGGTGGCGCAAGTCAGAATTTAGCTTGTGTTTTACAAGTGTTTACAGATCCACTGAAGACGAGAGTATGGATGGTTGCTCCAGCCTACTTCTTGGCTTGTCGGATTTTTGAGGACTCGGGATTGAGGTTGAGAGCTGTCGAGGAGGGAAGTGAGGGGATTGACTTGGTCGCACTTGAGGAGGAATTGAAGAGGGTTGAGCATGATGAAGGAGATACTAAAGTAGGTCAATCGCTCCTTCTTTCCCCTTTTCAAGGTGTGTGTAGTTGAGGGAAATCGCCAACAGCCTATATCATCACGTGCTCCATCTTTGAGGATAATTGGATCTTTCCTTGTATTTGTGTACTGTATATTTGTTGAATAAATAGTGGTGACAGAACCTGGCCCTTGACATCTCGTCTGGACTGTAGGATATCATGGAACAATTGTTGACAAAAATTGCAGACCCTCAAAAGAACCACACCTTGGTCAAAAATCTACCGCCACATTAGTACGGCAACCCGACTTTCATATTACCCGCCTCGAGGAGATCTTCAAGTGTCGAATTAATCTAGTGATTTCTTTGCCCCTAGAAGCACTTGTCTTCTGAAGGCGATCCGGCTGCTCGACCTTCTTTGGATCTATTATCACTCCCTCCCTTTAATATAAAATCCTGACGCTAACCTAAATCACAGTATATTGTGTACCAACATTCTCAAACCCATCTGGAAAGACAATGTCCCTCTCCAACCGCCAAAAGCTTGTTCAGATAGCTCGGAAATATGACGCCTTGATCATTACAGACGATGTCTACGACTTCCTCCAATTTCCAACAACGTCAACGACGGCTGCCTCCTCATTAACCAACGCACTTCTTCCCCGCCTAGTTGATATAGACCGAAGCATGGAGCCCGTGCCGTCAGCGGATAGTTTCGGGAACGCGATGTCCAATGGCTCATTCTCCAAGATTGCAGGACCTGGCGTCAGAACTGGATGGGCAGAAGCCACCCCGAAGTTCACATATGGATTGTCTCAGTGTGGATCTTCTCGATCTGGAGGTGCACCGTCACAGTAAGCCCTCTTCCTCTCGGGGAATACCCGCTCTATACAATTCGAAGATACTCTAGAGACTCGATTTCGTTCACTGACTATCCCTAGATTGGCCGCCACAATGATGTTTGAGCTTTTAAAAAGTGGTGAAATGGAAACCCATATCCAAGAGATCCTGTGTCCTGCATACAAGAAGAGATACGAGATCATGATAGCTGAGATAGAAGAGCTGCTCGTACCGTTGGGTGTCAAGGTCGGAGAAGTCAGCTTCGGGGACAAGGCCGTATTTGGCGGGTACTTCATCTGGCTTAATATGCCAGATAGAATAAGTGCGGAAACAGTTACGGACGTCGCTAAAACCCAGGAAAACTTGATCGTTGCCCCTGGTCACATATTCGAGGTTTCGAATGATTCTAGAGTGCAATTTGAGAGATGCATAAGACTTTGCTTCTCGTGGGAAGAAGAGGCAGATTTAAAGGAAGCAATTACTAGGCTTGCCAGAGTCGTCAAAGATGTGATGGACGGTAAGAGCGGAATACCAAAGGAGAATGGGGCAAACAAAAGCAAGCTTAAACAGGATCTAGGAGAGTTTCAGTAAGGATGTCGATGTGATGCTAGATCGAAACAAAAACTTATGTGCATTTCTCCGTTCCATATCAACAAGCTGTAGCGTTTTCAAAGTTTTTATTCAGTAGCTATTTACTGCCTCGGTACGATAGACCGTGGACATTATGCAGCTAACTGGCAGGATCGCATAAAGTACCTATCTCGACTTCGCAGGATCCTTTGAAAGAATACCTTCCGGTTGAACCTTTCGCTTATCATCGTCTGCACCATCATGTGCTTCATGTCATGCTAGCAAGTGCTTGTGAAGCAAGCTATGACACCCAGCACAATGTACACGCCTTGCAAATTGCAACGGCAGCCGACGAGACAAACATCCGCTCATGACAGTTACAAGTGTAATGCGAAAGTGGGGTTGCGTGTAGAAAGAAATAATCCATACAGTGAGCCATCCTCCAACGAAGATGCTCTCTTTTCATCGTGTTCAAAAAACCAGTTCGTTTAAGTGTGGACTGGTGTGGAGACATGTCTGCTCCAATTTGATCCATATCCTCTCCCGCCTCGTCCTCCGCGACCAGAATTGGGACTTGAAGAGACGGATGCGTTATCAAGGTTGGGGGACTGAAACCCGCCCGAAGCATCTCGGCCTCTACCTCTGGGGTGAGATTGCCGCGGAGTGCCACCACGAGAGCTGCCTCGTCGCGGATTGCTTCTCTGACGTGGTACTGGAATATTGACACTTCGGGGCTCCTCTTGTCCTGGGACCTTGATAGTGACAGTGCTGTTATTATTTGCGATATGCTGGGGGAATGGCAAGGCTTCTGCGCTTGTCGTCTGCGCAACGTGGAATTTGCGTGGTAGAGACTTGGGCTGCGGAGGCGCAAGAGTCCACGCGAGTGCGGGTGCGGAGGCAGGAACTTTAATCACAGGCAAAGAGCCCATTTCTTGCTCCTCGAAGCATTCTTCTGCAGCGGGTTTCGACTCGACTATTCCGCCATCTGCGGTGGATTCTGAAGCTAGAGATGGCAGAGATACGGTAGCAGCAATTTGTTGGTGAGGTACTTCTAAAGCATTCTTACTCGAAGAGTCAACCGCCAGCGCGTGTGACTTGGGGGGGGAATGATTGCGTCCAATCAAGGAATTAATTCGTTCTTGCCAACCCCCAGCAGTTGGCTCCTGACGACGAACGTCTTGATACTGTGCTCCTCGGGATCCAAAGTCTTGGCGTGCTGGATAGGGTGTGTTGTGATTTACAGTAGGTGCTATTGGAGCTTGAATAGCTGCAGCGAACGAAGCAGGCTTTGGAGGACCAATTGGAGCTAGGACTGGCGGTGGGGGTAATTTTACCACAGGTGAAGGACGAGGCAGTAGGACATGTGGGTGTGTGGTATCACCATCATATGCTGGATGCCCGGGCATAGTTGGTGGAGGTGGAGAGGGAGAACCTGGCCTGTCAAAGGGAATGAGTTGTTCTTCTAACCGGACATCGCGGTTGTTGGGAAAGAACCTGGAGCCTCGAACTGGAGGTGATGCGGTCATAGTAGGAGGTCTCCAAGCATCGAATTGTTGCGAGTGGTTGCCGACAACATTACGCCGGGCCACATCTTGCTCGTCAAATACACCACGCGTGGTAGCCTCTTCTTGTGGGTTCCATGATTGCGGTGGATCATGGACAGCGCTGACTTTGCCCTGACTCTTTCCACGGGTTCCATCGTCGTTCATATTTACCGGGCGCCAGGTTTCTTTGATGGTCGTGTTTGCCTCGACCTCGAGCCCCTTTTCCTGGAGCTCTCGTCGTCGCGAGATTTCTGCATCCTGCTGCTGAGCAAGCATTGCGTCCTCTTGAGCAATCCTTTCCGGTAGACTTCCCCAACCTGAAGTTGCTACAGCGGCGCGATTCAGGTCTTGACGTGAGATACCTTGTTGTTTATTCGGGGGGCCTATAGGAGCAGGCCGAGAACCATATTCCCTCCCAGGACCCTGTTGAAATTGCCCATTACTGCGAACTGAGTTTGGTGGTCCAATTGGGCCAGGGTGGGGTCCTTGGTGCATATCTGGCAATCTGCTTAATTCAGGATTGAAAGTTCCATTGCCCAGTGTCCTATCATTGCTCGGAGGACCCCAAACGTTTCTTGATGTTGATTGCTGGTTTGGTGCAGGAGCCCACGGCTTGAATCTGTCCGATGAGGTGGAAGCGTTCTGCCAGGACTGTGAAGATCGATTGTCTTGTTGCAC